CAGCGGCTGTTTGCAGCAAATGCACTTATTTCTGCTCCCCTTGCCGGTGGGCGGGTGCGGGGACGCTTTGGGTGCCCCCGGCTCAGAGGCACCTGATGTGCCGAGCAGGCTCACGGTGGTGAGGCATCAGTGAACGCCCCCCAAGCCCCGCGCCAGCCGAGCCCTGCTGCCCGTACCTGGGTGGTAAATGTGGGCAGCACCGCTGTCCCGTGTCTTGTTGTTGATGAAGAGGGAGCCGCTGAATGCCGCCAAGCCCCAGCGGAGGTTGGGGGGCAGAGGGGTGTGCGCAGCCATGGCCGGCAGCCGAGCCCCCCTGGCCCCAGTCTGGCTCAGCCGGTATTAGCCAGATGGCAATTAATGGGATGACGGGTCGGGCTAATGCGCAGGGACACCTGGCCATTGGCTCCACGGGGACAGGGCTGCTGAGCTGGGAGGAGGATGTGGGGAAGGAAAATTCCACTCCCTTGAGACCCCAAGCCCACGTGGGAGCCACAGGGATGGAGACCGTGTGTTGCTCCCCCCACACACACCCAGCAGCTCGTACTCCCCACTGTGACGGGGACACGACAGGGTCCCCAGCCTTTGCACCCCATGGGCAGTGCTCTGCTCCGCCGCACCCTCTCCCCGCCGGGTTGCACCAACGTAATTATTGCTCAGTGCACCCTGACAGCGGGGGGTCCTGGGGAGGGCAGTGGGGGACGATGCATGCGAGAGGGCGCTTGAGCCAGAGGTGAACAGCAGGGAAAGGGGATGGTGCTTTGGGGCCTCCACGTTTCATCCTGTCCCACAGGCACAGTTGCATCTCATGATCCGCAGCCTCCAGCCCAGCAGGGGCATCAGAGCAGCTGCTGCAAATGTGGGGAGAGTGCGTTGTACATGGGGTCCTTCAGGGCCAGGCAAGGGCCACCAGAAACCCCGTAACAAGAGGATTCTTCTGCTTAAGAAAGCCAAAGCGAAGCTGCAGAGCTCATTGCCATGTGCTGCCGAAAGTCCCACCCGGGGCTGCAAGTGGGGCTGGACCGGCGTGTGGCCGGCTGAAGTCCAGCGAGGGCTTCCACCCAGACGGACCCAGCCTCAGGAGGCAGGTCCATGCCTGAGCTTGGCCGGGGCACATCTCCTCTCCCAGCCCTTCTCTGCAGCTGTGGCACCACAGAGCCCCCAGGCCTGGCTCAGGGCGGCCGCTCCCCTGTCCTTACATTACTGGTAAAAAAATAAACCTACGCGAAGTGGATCTCACAGAAAATGGAACCAGGCGTGGGGAAAATGCCCCCTGCTGTGAGCATTGGCCTGCTGTGAGGTAAGGACGCTGAGCCCAGGGAGGGCTATGGATGAGCGGGAAGGCCCATGAAGTCCCTCTGGTCCAGTTGGCCATGACTGGGCAAGACATCTGAAGATGCCACCGGTGAGAAGACAGACTCCACTGCACCGGGGAGGGCGTTCAACCACAGCCCGTGACACCGACCACCCTCAGGCTCGGAAGTGACGCGGGTAGGACTTGCCTGGAGGTGGTTGGTCACCACCATTCAGCTTGGACCAGCTGCAGCCAGGACAAGGGCAGCCAGCCCGGGGGACAAGCCTGCCACTGCAGGAGAGGAAGGAGGCAGAGCAGTTTGTGTTGCCACGACTGCCTCAGGGGCTGTAAGAAGGAGCAAAGCGAGGAGTAAATGTCAGCATGTGCAGAGGCAACATCCACCTGGGCAAGGTGCAAAAGCAAGGGCAGAGTGAGGCCACGCTCAACGTCTGGGAAACCACCGCGGGAGGAGCAGCAACCTTTCAAATGAAGGCTTGGGGCAGGAGGGAACTGAAAATAAACCTGTCATCTGGCATGATGCCGCAGTGAGATGGCCAGAGGGGTTCTTGGGTGCGCCAGAAGGGAAGGTGTCTGGCGCCCAACATGTGGCTCCCTGGGCCCTGCCAGCCCAGGGGTGAGGTGTGGGCAGGGTGACAGGCAAAGCCCAGCGCCTGAGGAGCAGGAGCTGGGGGAGAGCTCGGGGTCTGGGGGCGTCATGTCTGTGGGCAACCCAGGTGGGCAACCTAGAGGATACCTGGGCAATCTGGTGAAGCCAGCTGTGATGGGGCAATATGACTGGGGATCACGAACATGTGCCCCAGCTGGGTTTAGCTACTGGTGCCCATTCCCAATGGGAAAAGGCGGTTTCTTAAGAAGAGCTGGAAACTTTCTGTTCTGGCCTGGGAAGTTGCAAGATGTGCCTGGAGAGGTGGCAGAGGAGACAGCCCAGCCTTGCCCAGCCCCAGGACATGCTCACCACCGGCAAGCATTTGCTGAGGTGCTGGATGAGGGTCCCAGGTCCAACAACATCCTGCACCAGTGCGGAGGAGCAGTGCCCGCAGGTCGGTGTCAGGATGCCCGGTGATGCTGGCAGCCCTGCCCGTGACCTGGCACACATCCCAGGGAAAGCCATGAGGATAACTGGGGTCTCTTGTGCCATGGGGTGATGCTCCCAGCCCCGGCTGAAACAGCAGCTCTGTATAAAGGGGGAGTGGGACTTGATCCGCACACTGCAGCCATAAGCTGGAGCAGAAGGTCCCTCCCCAGCCCCTGCATGGTCTGCAGCCCCACCAACATGGGGGTGATGCCTGCCATGCACAGCTCATGCCCGACACTGGACAAGACCCCAGCAGAGGCGAAGGAGTCAAAGGGCATCTTCCTGAAAACCAAAGCGCCCTGCCGATTTGCCCAGGAAAACTCCAGAGGGTGCCAAGCCTTCCGGTGAGCAGAAAGATGGAGGCCTTGGAAAAGCTCAGCCAAGCTGTGCTGGGGAGCACGTGGGGCACGAGAGCTGCCAGTCTGTGCTGGAGAGCCCAGGGGGAAAACCACAGCGCTCTGGGGGGGCCACCACACGCTGCCCCAGCATCCCTGGGCACCCCCAGCGAGGCACCCCGGGGAGCTGCGGAGCAGAGCCTGACCTTCCCAGCAGCAAGACACGGCTGCAAAGCCGCATCTCCCCGGCGAGTGGGCAGAGCTGGGGCTGCAGGCTGGGCAGCGCGCGCACCCCCGGCCCCTCCGCAAGGGCCCGGCCTGGGGCACCGGGAGCTGAGCAGCACCGGCACCTCCGCCCTCACCTGTGCTGCACCGGCGACAGGGACATCGACATTTGCCTCTTGGGACCAAAGATGAGACTTGTTCACATCCCTTTGTGGATCCAGCAGATGCATAATGGTTCACTGGTCAGCATCAAGAAGTTCATCGCCGCGTGCTGGAGCACGCAAGCCCCTACCTACCGTCCCCTCCAGTCCTGCCGCTGGGGAAAAAACCTTGCAGTGAAACCAGAAGAGATCCAAGGGAGACGTGACAGAGTGATGCCTCTGCCCAGCAAAGATCAGAAAGGCTGGAAATAAATACAGGTGAGCTGGACACAAGTGGGAAGCCTCCGCAGAAGAGGAGCTTGCACCACCCGGCCGACCTGCAGAGGGGACCGAAGGCCTAGGAAGGAATCAGAGATGATCCAGATCCCAAGAACAGTACTGCTTTAATTCACAGGGAGTGAATCAAATTAAAACTATAAATCCTCTTGCCTTGGGCTCAGGGTAAAACATTGACTGTTGGGGAGGAAACCTCCCCCAGGACAGAGCGCTGCAGGCTCTCCAAGGGGGGCTCTCGCCCCCTGGCTCTGTGGGGCTGATGTGCACGGGGTTGTGGCCTGGCCAGGTCCACGCCTGGACTGGAGCTAAGGCTCTTCCAGCAAGGGGCAGAAAACACAACAGCAGAGCACTGACACGGAAAGCCGAGATGAGAAATACAGCCTGGTCACCAGGCGACAGGAGGAATGAGTGACGAAGGCCGGGGGAGAGCCAGGAATAATCCTTCGGTGACTTTTCCTTGAGTAACATCTCAGCAGCCACAGCACTAATCCTGTGACAACCGTTAAGCAAGGCTGGCTGGAAGGATGGCCACCAAGCCAGGAGGCTGCACCTCTCCAGGGAGCCCCCGCTCCACACCCCGGGGACTGGCGGAGAGCTGCCAGTGCCCAAACCTAAGCCAAGCCCAAGACAGAGGGAGCAGCGCTCCAGGCCCCTGTCTCCTCCGGGCGGGGAGGTGCCGCGGGTGCTGGGATGGGGACCGATGAGCTCCACAGCCCTCGGCTTGGGCAGGGACCCACCTCTGCTGGGGGCCCTGGATGGGGTGACCAGCCTGGAGAAGGGAGAACGTGCAACCCAAACACAGAGCCTGCCCGGTGTGACCCCATCTCCCTGCCCCCCCGGGGCTCCCTCGGGTGGGCGGGCGTGGGGAGAGCTGTGGCAAGCGCTGCAGCCATGCGGCGGTGGAGCGGATGTCAGGCTCCGCGGGGATGCGCATCGGAGCTCTGCTGGGAGCCAAGGGGATCTGGGAAGAGGCGACGTGCTCAGAAGCACAGGGAGCAACGAGAGGCACCCGCACTGTTCATGGGAGCAAGGGACGTGCTCGGGGCAGACCCGCCTGGGACCCTGCAGCCCGTCGGCAGCATCCGCGGCCGCACGGTGCCCGTTTCCGCCGCCAGTGCCGAGCCCCGCTCTCTCTGGGGGCTGCTTTTCCAGCATCCCAGGGGAATTGCAACCGCAGAGCCCCAGCCCGGCAGGCACCGGGGCAGAGGAGCCGTTGGCGGTAGAAGGTAAGCACGCAGTGAAAAGGACTCAGCTGGGGTGTTCCTGCTTGTCCGTGGAGCTGCCGTCCCGCCTGCCCGCGGCGAGCGCAGCACCAGGAGGGTGCAGCCGCCAGCGGCGTTAGGAGCCTTTCCCTGTCAGCCAGGACATATCTCCAGTTCTAAAAGAGAAACAACAGCAGCGCTGTGAGATGTTTCCTGGCATGCACAAGCAAATGTGCTCAGTGTGCCTGGTGCTGCCCTCGGCTCCAGTGCGGTCACTGGTCATCGGCCCCATCCCAGCACCCGTGCTGTTCTACGCAGCGGCACAGCCACCCTGGGCAGAGCCCGCACACACACTAAAACTTCCCCAAACTCAGGTGCAGACCCTCAGTTCCATGTACAACTGAGTTCAGTGTTTTTTAAACCTAAAAGCCCTTTGGCATTCAGCTGAAACTCCATGGAAAGCCACCGCATGGCAGGCACCTCCCCAGCTGAGTGGGGTCCCAGCC